CCACATTGAGGATTAAGTTTCAACATATGAATTTTAGGAAGACACAAACATTCAAACCACAGCATTCTGCCCCTGGCCTCCCAAAATTTAAATCCTTCTCAGATGCACATTCCATCCCCATAACCCCAAAAGTCTTAACTTTTTCCAGCATCAACACAAAAGTCTAAAGTCCAGAATCTCATCTAAATATCATCTAAATCAGATATGGGTGAGAATCAAAGTATAATTAATACTGAGCCAAATTGCTGTCTAATTGTGAACCTGTGAATTTTTTTTTTTTTTTTTTTTTATTATAGACGGGGTCTCACTGTGCTCAGGCTGGAGTCGAACCGCTGAGCTGCAGCGATCGTCCCGCCTGGCCTCCCAGCAAGCTAGGATTACAGGCGTGAGCCACTGCGCCCGGCCTGAAATTAAACTTACGTACTTCCCAAATACAATGATGTGACAGGCATAGGATCGACATTTCCATTCCAGAAGGAAGAAATAGGAAGGGAGAAAGAAGTAACTGGTCCCAGGTAATTCCAAAACCTATCAGGGCAAACAACATTAAATCTTAAGGCTTGAGATTCGTCTTTGACTCAATGTCCTACACCTTCCAGACACACTGGTGCACGGGTTGGACCCTGAAGGCTCCAGACAACCTCATCCATGGCTTTGCTGGGCATAGCTCACACAGCACCTCTCAGGGCTTGCAGTTATGTGCCTGAGGCTCTCTCGGACTGCAGTTGAACACTGGTAACACTACAGTTCTGGGGTCTCGGGGGCAGTCCTGCTCCCATGGCTCCACTAGACATTGGCCTAGTGTGGGCTATCTGTGGTGGCCCCATCCCCACAGCTCCACTGGGTAATGCCCTAGTAGGAGCTCTGCATGTCAGCCCCTCCCTGTGGCAGTTCTCAGCCTAGGCTTCACGACCCTCTGGGCCATCCTTTGAAATCTAGGTGGAGGTAGCCATGCCCCCACATCTCATGCACTCTGAGTGCCTATAGACTTGGCACCATGTGGACACTGCAAAGGTTTACTACCTCTGACCGCTGGAAGGCCAATCCCTGCTGCCTGCACCACACCTGGGCCACACCTGGGGCGGCCAAAAAGTGTTGCATTTGAAGTCAAAGACCAGAGACTTGAGGTGGACTGGGCAGTGAGTGGAAGTTCCCGCGGGTGCCCAACCTCATGGGCATAGCATAGATAGCAGCTTTAATTTTCAGTATTCTGTTTAGTAATGTGGTTAAGAACTTTTCCATTTTTATTGACCATATGAATTTCATTTTCTGTGAAGTTTCTGTTAAACTCTTTTGTTCATTTTTCTATTAGATTATCTTTCCTTTTCTCATTGATTTGTGAGAGTCACTTATAGTGTCTTTTGTCAATTACAGGATTATTCAATATCTTGATCCAGTAATAAGAGAATCCTACCTTAAATGGGATACAGCATTGTATTCCATACTAAAAAATCAGAGACATACTAAAAGAAATTTGTTAAAGCAAATTTTAGACATTTTTACAAACATAAAATGAGAGAGGACAGAAGAATGACTTGAAACTCTGAAATCAAGCTGGCTTAAAGTGTTCTGCGTGGTGAAAACCATGATAAAAGTTAGTGACAACAGATTAGCAGAACATATTGTATAAATAGCTCCTTACAAATAAGTAAAAGCAGAACGAACCATGTAATAGAAGAATGGGCAAAGAATATGAACAAATTTAAGAATAAAAAAAGTAGATTGGTTTTCAGTTACTAAATATGTTCAACCTCACTAATAATCAGAGAATTCAAATTAATGAGTTACCTTCTTTTTCTAATGTGAGTCTAGGTTAAAGAGTTAGATATTATATACTGCTGGAAATGGTGGAAGAATAGGGGCCTTTTATACCTATGCCGTCTAACATGGCAGCAACTGGCCACATGTGGCTATTTAAATTTAAATTAAACAAATTTTAAAGTATGAAATTCAGTTGCTCAGTCACACTGGCCACATTTTGAGTGTTCAACAGCTAGAAGTAGCTAGTGGCAATAGTATTGGACAATATTAACATTTTCATCATCACAAAAAGTTCTGTTGGACAGCGCTGGTTTATAGATAGTTTGTAAAGAAGCGCAAGATTTTTAGAAGGTGGTTTGATAATATCAATCAACATGAGCACCTGAATTTTCTTTGATCTAACACTTTTGATTATAGAAATCTATGGAAATAGGCCGGGCGTGGTGGTCACACCTGTAATCCTAGCACTCTGGGAGGCCGAGGCAGGAGGATCGCTTTAGGTCAGGAGTTCGAGACCAGCCTCAGCAAGAATGAGACCCTGTCTCTACTAAAAATAGAAAGAAATCAGCCAGGCAACTAAAAATAGAAAAAAAAATTAGCCGACCGTGGTGGCACATGCCTGTAGTCCCAGTTACTTGGGAGGCTGAGGCAGGAGGATCACTTGAGCCCAGGAATTTGAGGTTGCCGTGAGCTAGGCTGACACCACAGCACTCTAGCCCGGGCAACAGAGCAAGACTCTGTTGCAAAAAAAAAAGAAAGAGAGAAAGAAAAATCTATGGAAATACTTTCAAAGAGCAAAAAACTGTGTGTGTACTTATACATAAATATATACATATAAATTGTAAATACATACATATATATTTATATTTACTGACATAATATAGAAAACCTTATAAACAAGATCAATGTAAAATTTTAAAAAACACAACTATGTCATCCATATATGAGGGAAATGGTTAAATAAATATTTACTTCCATACTGTAGAATAGTATGCATTTATTTGAGGCAATGATCTAAATCTGGAAAACTATTTACAATACATTTTTCACTTAAAAAAAGCAAGTGTCAATATGAAAAGTATATACCTATGTATTTATTTATTTGAACCACTTTATGGAGGCGTCACATGTAAAAATCTGTACGTATTTAATGTATACATCTCAGTGAGTTGGAGGTAAATATGGAGCTGTGAAACCAACAGCAAGGCCATAAACATAGCCATCATCTCCCAAAGCTTCCTCCCAATCCTTTTATTATTACTGATTTTTCTGTATGTGTCTGTAGTAAGAATCCAGTAAGAGATAGACCCTCTTAGCAAATTTTAAGTATATGATACAGTACTGTCAGCTACAGGCACTGGACTGTAGTAGATCTCCAGAATTTATTTAACTGGCATAACGGAAACCTGGTATCCTTTAAGCATCACTCCTTCCTCCCTCCCTCTAGAATCCGGAAACCACCATTCTACTCTCTGCTTCTATGATTTTGACTATTTTATTCCACAGATAAGTGAGATTACATAGTATTTGTCTTTCTGGGTCTGGCTTATTTCATTTGACACAGTGCCTTAAAATATATTATAATTTCCATACTTCTAAAGACATATCAAAAGATTGAGAAAGAATCAAACCCAGTAGTCCCATCGGGGGAGGGGGTGTATTGGAGGAACACGCAGGGTTGGAGGGTAAAGGAGGCTGTTATTTGCTGCCCTGTATCTTTCAGGGATATTTGTATCCCTTACGGAATTCTACCCAGCACATTGCTCAGTTAACGTTTCCTTCCTTCCCACGTGCTAGAATAATTGCTACGATTGCTTGAGCACCCATAACATATCAGGCAGTATGTATCAGCCACTTTAAATATATTATCCCATACATAATTTTTGTAAATAAAGAGAAATGTGTCAAAACCGGGTATTTCCACAAGGCTTTGGATCTAAAATGCAGAAGCTACCGAGTATAGCACACAGACCGAACTGTAGCAACAGGAATTGATGAATTAGTGTCTTTCATCAAGAAATTCTTAAACAGCCTAAAGAAAAGTGGTACAGAAATGAAAACGATGATAGAATAGATCCGGGAAATAGATGCCAGTTGCCCTCTACAGCTGGAGGCCGCTAGGTGTGGCTTGAGAAAATCAAGCAGATTTCCAGACCAGGGAAACTGCAATTTCTGGTTTGCAACCTGAACTAGGACCTCAACACGCTTGGCGATACTTTCATTTTCGCCTGATTTCATGACAGACAACATGGCTTGGTACAAGAGCTCTAACTAGTCTCCCTGACTCAAGCCTGGTGCTTTTTAATCTTTTCCGGAAACGCAGCCAGAATGATGCTCCTGGGAACAAAACTGAAAATGTTCCTCTTCTGCCAGAATCCGTCCAAGTCACCTCATGAGCCGGGGATTTGCTCTCTCCATGGACCGTAAGCCCCTCTGCGGTCTGAGCTGGGTCTTCTTACCTTTGCGCCTCCTCCCTCACCGACCGGCTACAAACATACCCAGCTCTTCGCCTTTCTCTGAAAGCTCCCGGGTTGTGCTCGTCTACCAGGTGCTTTTTCTGGATTCTTCCACCACTGCACATGGACACGAAAAATCACGCTGATTGCAGGCACCCCAAGGACACACCGCAGAAAGAACCACCAGGCAAAACGAGCTCAGAGCCTTTCTCTTGCCCGGGCGCACAGGGGGCGCCGCGGGACCTTCTCTGAAGAGGCAGCAGCCGAAGCCCGGGGCGCTGCGCGGGCTGGGGTGGGGGCGCAGAGTCCTCTCCGACGCTCTCAGGCTCTGTTCGGACTCTTGCAGCTCCTGGAGATTCCAGTCTGCGTGTCCCAGGGCGTGTAGACACAGACGGAACTGCGCAAGATGTGCTGAGCCTTTAGGAAGTCCTCTTTTGTTCCTCCCATTTCTCTGTGCCTCCGTGTCCCAGGGTGCTCGCTGCCCCTTTCCATCCGACGCCCCAATAGCCCCTCTTTTCTCATTTAGTCTCCCCGCCGTTCCCTCCATTCTTCCTCGTGCGCCCAACGGCACGGCCCAGAAAACGGACTAGATGCGTTGGACAAGGCACGCGCCTGTTGGGAAAGTCAGCGGGACGGAGCCCTGGGAGGTTGGGGTCCCTCAAACCCTCAAACTCTGGGAGCTCCGAACTTGGCGCTCCGGCGCCTCTAGCGGCGGCCCGCGGAAATGTGACTCGAGGCCGAAGCTGCAGGACTGAATGGGGAACAGAGACTGAGCAGCGAACGATGAGGTCGGTGTGGGTCTTACTCTCCCAAGGCTGCTCGCTCCTTGTGCTGGTTCTGCCGGTGCTCGTTGTTGACTCTTTTGGCGAAGATACAATTTTTCACCCGGAATGGGGGTTTGACTCCTATGAAATCACCATCCCCAAGAAGCTCAGCTTCCGGAGAAGTAAGCAGGGTGTGGACAGTCCCGTGTCATACCTCTTGGAGTTGGAAGGCAAGAAGCATGTCCTCCGCTTGTGGCCCAAGAGGTTTCTGTTGCCCCGACATCTGCGTGTTTTCTCCTTCACAGAACAGGGGGAACTGCTGGAGGATCACCCTTATATACCCAAAGGCTGCAACTATATGGGCTCTGTGGAAGGGTCTGAGGACTCTGGAGTGACTATAAGTACATGCATGGGGGGTCTCCGAGGTGTACTGAATATTGATGCCAAACATTACCAAATCGAGCCCCTTAAGGCCTCTTCCAGTTTTGAGCATGTGGTCTATCTCCTGAAGAAAGAACAGCTTAGCAATCACACCTGTGGCTTACGAAATAGTGAAGTAGAAGGGCGAATAAGGCAGGCTGAGTCCCTGACTAGTCTAAGGGACTATCATGGATTCTATACACACCCAAAGTATTTGGAATTGGTCCTGCTCTTTGATCAAAATAGATACAGGTTTGTGAACAACAATCTTTCTCAAGTCATAAATGATGCCATTCTTTTGACTGGAATTATGGACACTTACTTTCAAGATGTCCATATGAGGATACATCTAAAAGCTCTCGAAGTATGGACAGATTATAACAGAATATATCTTGGATATTCCAACTTATCTGAAGTTTTAGGCAGATTTGTACTATATAAAAATAGTGTACTAAATAGCCGGCTTCCATCAGATTGGGCACATTTATATGTTCATAAAAAATACACTGATGCCCTTGCGTGGTCATTTGGAAGAGTGTGTTCTCCACACCATGCTGGATCAGCAAGCTCTTTACTAGATGCAAATATCCTTGGCCCTGCCACCTGGTCTACTCATGAACTAGGCCATGCTGTGGGAATGCTGCATGATGAAGAGTACTGCCAATGTAAGGGCAGGCTTAGTTGCATCATGGGCACAGGACGCACTGGGTTTAGTAATTGTAGTTATGTCTATTTTTTTGCACACGTATATTCAGGAGCAAAATGTCTAAATAATATCCCAGGAATGGGTTATGTGCTTAAGAGATGTGGAAACAAAATTGTGGAAGAAGATGAAGAATGTGATTGTGGTTCCACAGAAGACTGTGAACAAAACAAGTGTTGCCAATCAAACTGTAAATTGAGACAAGGTGCCAACTGCAGCATTGGACTTTGCTGTCATGAATGTCACTTTCGTCCATCTGGATACATATGCAGGCACGAAAAAAATGAATGTGACCTTGCAGAGTACTGTGATGGTAATTCAAGTTTCTGCCCAAGTGACTTTTTTAAGCAAGATGGAACCCCCTGCAAGTATGAAGGCCGTTGTTTCAACAAGGGGTGCCGATCCAGATTTATGCAGTGCCAAAGCATTTTCGGACCTGACGCCAGGGAGGCTCCTCATCAGTGCTACGACGCAGTTAATTTAATGGGCGATCAATACGGCAACTGTGAGATCACAGGAGTTCGAAGCTATAAAAAGTGTGACAAGCAAAATTCAATATGTGGCAGACTACAGTGCATAAATGTCAAAACCATTCCTGATTTGCCGGAGCATACGACTATCATTTCTTCTCACTTGCAGGCAGAAAAGCTCGTATGCTGGGGCACAGGCTATCATCTAGCCATGAGACCCCTGGGAATACCTGACATAGGTGTGATAAATGATGGCACGTCCTGTGGTGACAACCGGATATGTTTTAACAAAAATTGCATCAATAGCTCCGTCTTGAACTTCGACTGCTTGCCTGAGAAGTGCAATGCCCGAGGTGTTTGCAATAATAGAAGAAACTGCCACTGCATGTACGGCTGGGCCCCTCCATTCTGTGAGGAGGAGGGCTACGGAGGAAGTATCGACAGTGGGCCTCCTGGACCGCTAAAAACAGAGGTGTCCTCGTCAGTTCAGATTGTGTCCATCATGATATTTCGCCTCATTTTATTAGTCATCTCAGTGATTTTTGTGTTTTTTCGGGAAGAGATAGGAAACTATTTCAAACCCAAACAGGAAGAGACATCACCAGCTCAACCACCCGAAGAAAAAACTGAACATAAAGAGCCTACAGAAAACACTGGAGTTGAAACACCCAAAGCAAAGGCTGTCAAGAAGCTGAAAAAGTAACCAGGCAAGCCACAAGCTCGGTGACACGGGCTCGTGTTTTTCACGAGCTCGTCATTCATCCAAAGGCTCTCCATTCTTTTCCCAGTACTTTTTCACTCAAACTTTTCCACAAGTTTTGACCAGAAAATAAATGATCCTGTTCTGGAAACGAATCAGTGCATTTTATTTCCGTGATATTCACTTGCCGCCTCAGTTTGCGATCAAGTTTTGGATATCCTGAAAACTATCCCCTCATGGCTTTTCTGAACACCAGAGCCGTGAAAGTGGTGGGTTTCACAGAATAACCGTGGTTTGCAAAGTACAACTCTGTTTCTCAGAATCCCAATGGACAAAACGATTGTCTGCCCCTCTCAACTCGATCAGTGCGACGTCTGTGCCTGCGCCCCGTGCTGAACAATAAATGGCGACAACACATTTTATGAATAGAAAGTGTGCACTACAAGAAGCGTCCCTTCTATACACATATTCCCTGTTACCATCACTCGATGGGTCGCTCCAGCTCTGTAGACGTGTAGTCTGTGACTCAGTGTTGGGGTGACCTCGGATAGAGGAACAGCACTCCTCTGTCCTAACTCCTGCAGTGCAGCACAGTCTATAGACGATGACAAGCCCTGGTGATGTCTGGAGCAAGGCTGTTCACAAAATTCTGTGTTGGGGATTTCTGCTTGCAGGGGCAGGTCTTTTGTGAGTGTGTGCTGAGGGACACCTGGCTCTGTGTTTGCCACACCTATAAGTGGAGCAGAGGAGAGTGAGGAACAGCTTTCACTCCCAGGGACCTCCATGTCTCTGCCTTCAAATCTTCTCTCCCCTTGCACAGCGCTTTGGGCAGCAGGAGAGGAGGACTGAGGGGTGCCTTAGGAGGAGTTAGTATCTACCTCTTATGTCCAGGGAGGATCTTGTCCCTCCCAGACATGTGCCAACCCAAGTTTTTTGGTTTTGTTCTAGGAATCCCTTTTCTCTAAGGTTCACGCACATTTCTCCAGAAAAACATTCCCTCTTAGCCTCATTTCTGCCAGATGTTTTTCCCTCGTTATTACAATTCTATCAACTGGTTCTAAAATTCAGAATGAGGAAAACGGTAACCAGGTTGGCCACTACCACAATTGCTTCTTCCAAAATTCTAAAAACAAGTTGTGACTGCTTTCTCTTTTGCACATGGGAAATGAGAAGGATGCATCTGCCCATTGCCATAGCCCGATGTTAAATGCCCCTCACCTGCGATATCTGGCAGGTGGAAATTCACATGCCAGCACATTTTTGTAGGAAATTAGGATCTCTCTCCTAACTGCTGCAATTGCCTCCTTACTGGAAGTCCCATGTCTACTCCTCTTCAATCTATTTTCTATACGATACCCTGAAAAATATTTTTAAGGTAAAAATCAGATTATATTGTTTCCTGCTTAAACTTCCAGTCACTCAAATACAAGTAAAAACACTTTTCATGACTTGCGTTATCCTGCATAATGTTGACATTCCTTTCGCTCCAATCTTATCAAGCTTCACTCTCTTCCCACATTTTACTATTGCCACAACGGCTTCCTCCTGGATCCCCGAACGTTAAGTTCTCTCTGGCTTCGGTGCCTCTGCATATACTGCTCTCTACACCCAAAACACTCCTCGTCCTTATTCACAGGACTAGTTACCTGTCTTGTGACTAAAGTACATCTCCGGTGATTCTCTGCCACTGCATCTACTCCTTCAGTCCCTCCTGGCATATACCACACGCTGTGATTTTATATTTATTCACTCTTTACAGGCTCTTCCCACATTGCACTATTAGCTCCAGGAGGGCAGGGACAGTGTCTGCCACTCACCTCAGTATACACATCAGGCACTGCACTAGACCCTGGGTGTCAGGGGAGGAATCGACCTCAGACAACATCTAATCTAACGTGCTCAGTTGACAGATGAGGAAACAAGAACCAGGGAGGTTCAGTGACTTATCCAAGTTTGCACAGCCAGGCGGCAGAAGAATTGGAAATGGAAATTGTTATATTCTAAGAAAGACTTTGGGGATCTGAGATTCCTGCAGATCAAGTTAGTTTTCAAAATGGAGAAGGGGAATCTCAACTGACTGTTGGGGGAAGTAGGGGAAGACAAAGACAGCTCACTGTGCCACAAGTCAGATGACATGACACTACTAACCCGCCATTACTGAAATGAGTAGTGGGTACTGGCTTTGCAGGAGTAGGGTCACTTTCACGCTCATCTTTTCTTGTTGCCCCATCCTATGGTTTTAGGATGAACAAGTGAGTCTATGGACACAGCCTGTGGCAGTAAATGGAAGAGAGTGAAGCTAAGAGTGTACTCACATGAAAACCATGGCCCGGCCCTAATCGACACCACGCTCTAGTCAAGTGAGCCGGGACCACTGAACAGACACCATTTATGGGCCGTAGCACACAGGGACACAAACGCTCACTGTGGCTCTCTCAAGGTACCACCAGCGAACCATCAATCTGACAGGTGACTGGGAAAAGGAAAGACAAGGACAAGGAAAGGAAAGGAAGGGAAAGGCAAGGAAAGATTGCTGAGCCTCAGCAGTCTGTGGAGAAGCCCTCACCCTTCCCAGCCATCTCTCAACTGTGAGGTCTGTGGGAAAAGTTTCATCACATCACTGGTCCTGTTAAGGGTCAACTCTCATTGCAACAACGATCCCCACACAAGGAACATATAGAAAATGAGCTCGGCTGGCCCTTGCCCTGGCCCTGCTACCTTCCCCTTCATGGTTAAGTCAGGAGAATTCAGTCTCTGATACATCCTTCCAACCCGCAGTCACCCGGGCTCCTGAGCTCTGGAGTTTCATCCCTTTCCATACACAACAGAGCATTCTTGTCATCTCTATGCTGTAAAACCTCTGCCACACATTCCCATGCTGCTGCTGGAGCTAAAGGACAGAGGACACGCCTGACTGTTCCACGACCTGCTGGGACTAAGGCTGGGTGAAATACTCTGTATGAGCACTGGCGTTCGCAGGGCTGCCCAATCTGAATGTCACAGCTGAAATGTCACTTTCTCAGAGACATCACCTTGCCTACACCAACCTCAATTATCCCTGCCTATTAATATGCTCTACTAACATTCTTTACTTTCCCTGCAAAGCATTTATTATAGTTCAAAATTTCTCAGGTACTTATATGATATCTGCCTGTGTTTCTCAATAGACTGTCAGTTCCACGAAGAAATGGGCCGTAGCTTGTTCCCCTCATCACTGAGACCCCAGCACTTAGGAGAGCGCCCAGCTAATGCTACTAGTTGAGAAGTGCTCAATAAGTACTTGCTGAATGAATGTTCAACTGCTTCTGTTTTCTCTTACTTAAATAACGTAACCCCCTAATAATAACCAGCTTGCCCCTCTCACAGTAGGAAAGGCTGTCTCTATTCTGTTCATACCCGAAGTTTCCGTCACCCCGTTATCTATACCCACCAGTCCACACTCAAACTTTGCGTCCCAGTCCCCTTCCTTTGCCACTAAACTCCATCTCATCTATGCCACACCCAAGTTCACCTTGCCTTTGCCCACTAACCCCCCACCCATGTCCCAAGGGCGACTCTCCATTACGGTGGACACCGTCCTCCTTTAACTGAAACCTAAGCTTCCCCTACAGACGCCATCCCAGTCGGCCTTCTCCGGCAGACCTCTTCTGGTCCTCCTCTTCCGGACACTGCCACCAACAGGAAACTCACGGCAAAAGGACAGACTTTCTTTACTCCCCAATGCCACTACTGACCTCAAACACTAGAAATAGATGGAGTAAGTTATTTCTAGGTGCAGGACATGGTGACAGGTGCTTCACATTGATTGTAAAATATAATCTTCATATACCATTAGTCTGGTTTTATACATTTAGCACAAACCTGGGCCACACTGGGAAAAAACACACTAAAGTATCTCAGGGAGGTAAGAAGAGCTATGAATTGGAAGAGACGAGCTCAAGCCAGGAAGTGAACAGTTGAACACTACCATTCATCCATGCATTCCTTTATTCAACAAATATATACATAGACACACACCCACACATGCACACCACGGGCCAGGCCCTGACCTGTGCACACTGGGATTATAATGGTGAACCCAACAGTCATGCCTTCTACCCTGCAGACCTTACAAATAGAAGTTTCATAACCACACAAACAATGATAACATAGGATGATAACTGCTTTAACAGACACTTGTTGCCTTGGGAGCACAGAGTAGGGACAATAGAGAAAACTAGAGAATGAAACCTTTATGGGAAAGCCTGCAGAGCACGTAGCAGGAGTCTGCCAGGTTGCATACAAGTGTGCAAGTGTGTGAGAGTGTGTGTAGAGAAGGGGGTGGGGTAAGAGTATTCCAGGCAGAAGGAAGTGATGTGTGTGGGCTTGAATAGAAGAGA